AAAACGTGACGGTTAATTTGAAGCATCCTAGAGTTCGTCAGCCAGATGTTCTCTCTTCAGAGCAGAATTTAAGAGTTAACCTCATATTTGGCCTCCTTTAAATAAAAGTTTAAATGCCATTTCTCCAGAATCAGCCTGCATTAGATGTAAACATTTAGAAAAATTCAATTCAGTTCATTTCTATGGCGCAAATTCACAACATGTCATCTAAAGGCACTTTACAGTTCAACCAAATTGATTCACAGTTTTCTATCTAAGGAAAACCAGTTGATTGCATCGGATCATTGATTCAAAGGCAATCCCTCACACTAAGCATGCTTGTAGCCACAGTGGAGAGGAAAAACTCCCTTTTAACAGGAAGAAACCTCCAGCAGAACCAGGCTTTAGAACATTTAATAGGAGTTGATAAAGTTTTCTAAGGTTAAGCTTTTCTCCTCCAGATGTTGACGCTCGGCGTGGGGATCGGCGTGCTGCTGACGTCCCTCTTGCTGACGTACATCATCAGCTCCAAGGTAGACATCCTGTTCAGCTCAGGGCGGGAGCCCACCAGCGCCACCTACTGATCCACAGGAAGACGTCTCCGGCCTGCCACCACTACAACCCCCACTACTACTACTACTACTATAACAACCGCTAGTACTACTTCTGTCCCAAGCAGACTTTAAAACTCGGCACATTAAGGTACACAGACAGCTTTGAGTCAGCAGCGCAGTCGGGCCGGTTCTAAGACCCACTCTGTGTTCATGGACTCACCCCGGTGAGGTCGGAAGCCAGGACCGGAGTGGACTGGATGGATCTGGACTCCTCAGGGTCAGAAACACTGGTCAGGCACCAGAGGGGCCCTGTCAGCGGACAAGATGTTCATATTTCTCTGGAATTTCCTTTTTTTTTCATTTCTCTAACTTTTTAACGTGGAGGAATGTTTTTGTTTACTGTGTCTCTGAGCGATTGTGTGTGAGAAACATTCGGACTGCCTGATCTAGTGGGTGAACATTTGCACGGGTGTGTGAGTGCGAGTTCAGAGCCTGAATTTCGGGGATTGCGATGTATGTGCAATACTGAAGCTATCTTCTGTGTAAATGTAAGTAAATTATCAATCAGCTGTAATGATTAAAAAAAAGCCACTTTTTGAGCCGATGATCAGCTTTTAAAATTCCTATTTACGCTTTAAACTGACCTGGAAAGGTAGGAAATGTAAACTGTCGTGCAGCACGTGTTTATGTAGTGTTTTATTTGGAAAATATCAGTAGGAAAGTTTTTAGGGAGAAATTTAGAGTTTTAACACTGAAAACGTGCTGGTACTCTCTGCACTCCCACAATTCCTCTTTTTCAGTCCTAGGATCATTTTTGGAAGCATTATGCAGAAAATGCAAGTTTTTATTTAATTCTATCAATTGAATGGCTGGAATAAAAAGGTTTTGGGGTCTTGAAGACAAAATAAATAAACATTTTCTTTTTTCCCAGAGTGTATTCCCAGAGTTTGGTTTGTGATGTGTTGCAACATGTTGAAGCTGTTAAAAAGAACTGAGCTGATAGTAGCAGTTTATAAACTGCAGTAATAATACTGTGGCTTTAGTTCACCACAGTAGCCATAAAAACCGGTTTGGATCTGCGTCATTTTATTAGAACTTAGATGCTTTCCTCTTCCTTTGGTGTGTTTTATAACTTTTTGTGGACAGAGAATTCCCATGACCACAGCCAGCAGCTGGTTGCTTAAAATGCCGCTTTCACGCTGTTAGCATTCAGCTCCCTGGAATCTCTGCGTGTTTAATAAGATTAATATTTTGCAAGAACAAGGAAATGCAGTTTCAGTGCTCTGCCTGAAAACTCCCTCTACAATAATTCAGCATCGTCTGCCTTCACTGAAATCAAGTTTTGATCCTTGGATCGTCACATTTCTGACTTTTTGTTTACTTTTAATGTACTGACCGTTTCCCTCCCAAACATCTTTTTAATATTGTTTAGAAGCTTTTAGACCTGGTTTGGATCAAGTTTTTCAAACTTTCCTAGCTGCTTTCTCATCATTTTCTGTTGATTTTTCAAAAAAATTTATAATTCTCCATCTCTGAACAACAAAAATGACATTAATAATAAAAAATAAAGGTTACACTGTATTCATATCTTCTTTTTTTAAACTATAAAAACAAAAAACAATTTATACATAAATAGATAAAGAAAAGCCATCATTCATACTGCTCATCTTGTTTCTTGAACTTAAACTAATTGATGTCCATATAAGGTTTATTTTTTTTCAAGGTTGACGACTTCTTCAAACGAGGAATAGAAAATTAAGCATTTAGACCTATTTTATAAATATAAAAGCTGTTCTTTTCTTTATCAATTACCGATCCTTGTGATTTGCAAATAGGAAATGAGTAATAATTAGTAATGAATGAATGTTGGTTTTCTTTGAAACTGGTTCTCTGAAATTGATATTTAAAATAAAATGCATTCTATATTTTCTGTCTTTGTTTATGCATGAACGCACATTGATTCAATAGCTAAAAATCTAAAGGTTTATCTTTTTAAATGTGTTCTTGAGGCTATTCCCTTTAAAAAGGGCCTATATAGGCGTCCAAGCACAATGATAAACAGATAAATTACCTGATTTGTCCTTTTTTAAAATCAGATTTTATTAGATATTAGTTTTAAGCAATGCAATATCACACTCGTGCATCTGCAAGTAAATAATAATATAGCTGTTAATTGAAGATGGACCTCTCCTTTCTGACATTCACATAGGAAAAATTCAAAGGAAAATGACCTGAAACTCTGTCCTGTGATTGAAGACTTTAGACGGTCGGATTAGGCTCAGAGTGTCAGGAAGTTCTCTACAGAGGCAGCCCTCTCTATCAGCTTGAGTTTCTTTAACTCCGTTGCTCTGATGCTGCTCTAACAGATGATGGCAGAAGAGATCATCAGCTTCCTGAAGTACTACAGTCTGCTCTCTCCCTTCTACTAAAGTAGTGCCTCTGGTTGAGTTTCTTGTCCAGATGAACACCCAGGTATTTATTTTCTTCCACTTCTACTTTATTTCAGAAACAACGTGTCAAGAAAAACTTGATTTACAAATTTACCATGCAAATATTATAATTAATGACAAAAGAAATTGTTATATGGATTATTTGGTGCTTATGTCAGAAAATAAGTATGAAGAAGTGAAACTTATTTAATCATTTAATCCCCTTCACCTTCTTATAAACCAGTGATTCCTAACTGGGAGTACTTGTATCCTTAGTGGTCCAGGAGTGCATTGCAAGAGGTACAACTGTAAAGTGCCTTGAGATGACATGTGTTGTGAATTTGGCGCTATATAAATAAACTGAATTGAATTGAATTACATGAAAATATTTTATTTCCCAGGTAATAAAATAAAATAGGGCTGGGATCGGTTCCGTTTTGTGAGGGCCAAACTAAAGGATAAAACAAGTTTTTTTCAACCTAAAAGTAAGTTTTTCTTATATGTTTGAGTTCAGCTTTGACAATCAAACCAAGCAGAGGAACAAGCTGGGATCAGCTGTTTTCCAACATCAAAACAAGCTCAGGTGTCATGAATATTAAAATAAACAGAGTTAGTCTGGCTATAGAAACATTTTTTATTGTCATTTGAGTGTATATTAAAATAAATTTAGTTTTGTGCAGCTCTCATGACATTTCCATTTCATAAAGTGCATCGAATGTAAACGATGTGGGAGAAAAAACATGATGCAAAAAAATTGCATTGATATGGAAGTTCAGAGCATTAAATATTATTTTTGTTCAGTAATTTGTCCCAAGGGGACAGTTACTCAGAGGAGCTCCAGTTTTAAAAAGGCAGATTTATAGTATGATTTTATTTTGTATTTATTCTGATTTCCTACTAACCTCCAGGCAACATATGTAGGCCTATGTTTTTTTTTTAGTTGGAAGCCAAGAAAATGCTCAAGTTAAAAAGATGAAATAAATACTCTTTATTTCATAATTAGTTATTGCACATTACACTTTAGACCATAAACTCAGCAATACTGCATCAGAGGTTTGAATTGTTCCTGTTTCCTGTGAAATCCTCTCAGGTGTTTTAATTATGATTGTTTTGACACCATAACCAGCCAACCAGCTCTATAACCAGCCAACCAGCTCCATAACCAGCCAACCAGCTCTATAACCAGCCAACCAGCTCCATAACCAGCCAACCAGCTCCATAACCAGCCAACCAGCTCCTCCTGGTGTTTCTGCAGAGGACAGTCATTCTGTCTGGTCCTGGAAGTCCGAGCTGTAAATGCATGCATTGCAAATAAATTTAATAAATAATAATTTATTAAACGCTTTATATTTTAAAGATAATCCCTATAAATGTCTTCATAGTCGCCGCTCCTCCTTAAAGGGGCCCCACCTCTGCTTTAAAGCACTAATTTATGCCAAAACTGGTTTTATTTTTTTATGTTTAAACACGCATTCCTTTCAAATGAGTCCCAACACGGAGATGCGGTGTGTTTTGGTTGAGCAGCATCGTTTCCTGGGCCCCGTTTGTCCCCTGAGGGGGAGAAACCCGGAGGAGGGGCCAATCCCGAACGGAGGCGGGGCCCCACGGTGCTTCGGTTGAGTGGAGAGAAAGTGGGAAGTGGGGAGAGAAAAAAAAAATACCTGAATGGAAGATCTGCAATAAGTAAGTAGTATTTGTGTTGTTTTCCTCTTGCTGTGGGGAAATGTGGCAGAGCTTGCGTGGATGTGGGCCCTTTGTGTCCGCTTCTTTACGCGGAGCGCGGAGGATCGTGTGGCGCTGCGCGCTCCGGTTTCAGCCCCGCAAACAATAGTCTGGAGGACGCGATGGTCGCCCTTTCTCCCGCAGCGCAGCCAACTTTAGGAGCCTCATCTCCACCTATTGTTGTTCTCCGGGGGCCCACTCGGCTCCGGCGGTGATCCGGGGCCAGCAGAGGACCGGATCCGGGTGGATTTGGAGCAGAACGCAGATGCGCCTGGAGGGATGAGCGCGTCTCCTCTGCCTGTAGGCCGAAGGGTTTGAATTTTCCTCCATTCATTTCCAGAGGGCGTCCCGTTCTGGACTCACAGGAAGGGGGGAAAGAAACAAGCAGGCCAAACATTTGGATCATTTGGCTTCAGGACGCCACTAAAGGGGGCCTCGAAGGGCCCTCCATTGTCCCTCTTTCCCTCCCCTCATTTTATTGCTCCCACAACTCTTTATAGAGCTTCACAGTAAGTTCTCCCTTTGTGTGTGAGGATGGTTGCTGAAATGCTGAGGAAGGAGAGAGCAGATAAAAATATCTCTTTATTCTGTTTGTTTAGTTTTGTTACCATGAGGCTGAAATTTAAACAGACAGGATGATGATCTGACGGAGAGAAACAGGCCCATCACTGAGGCATTCACATACACAAATACTTACTCCATCTTCATAGAAACAGAGCTTCCTGTTGAGAAAATGTTTAAAAAAGGGTGAACAGTTCAGTGATGGAATAGGATGTTAACAGATATCCTGAATAATATGGCCAAATATCAAAGTTTTAATCAGTAAAAATGTTATTAAGGGGAAAAAAGAGATAAATATTTGCTAATGTTCATTATATTGTCCAGCTACTAGTGTTAAACTTCTTGTTGCATATTTAAATAATACAAAAAATAAGTTTTCCACACCACTTCATCTTCAGAGAGAACATTAATCCTAATTAATAAAGCCGAAGTAGGTGATGCTAAAGGCAAAAAATCCTAAATAAATATATTCACTGTTCAGAAACTAATTCTAAAATCAGATATGAACAAATATTCATAATCTTGTTGGATTATTTAAACCTTCTTTTCAAATGTTTTATTCTTTTCTGTTTTTCAAAATATAATTATTTATTTAGACATATTGGAAGGTGAGGATTTTACGGAAGATGATTAGGGCCACTGAAAAAATAAAGAAAGGTAACTGATTTTTACATTTTATTTCAGTTTAATATGGGTCAGATATTGAGATTAAAGTTAGAATTCTGAGAAAAAAAACTCAGAAATTCTGAGAAAAAAAAAATCAGAATTCTGAGATTGAAATCAGGATTCTGACTTTTTCCCCATATTAAACTGAAATAAAATTAAAGAATCAGTTAACTTTTAAAAATTTTTTCAGTGGCCCTAATAATCCGCAGGATTTGGCTGCATGTGGGAGGAAAGGTTTCTCTGTTTTAAATCTCTTGCAGAGATGAGATCCATTCCGCCATCATAAATTTACTGACACTCTATGTTTGGATTTGTTTTCATTTGATAATTCCTAAGTACCGCGATGATGAACGTGTTCCTGTTTCACGCTGTGTTAGGATACGATGGTGCAGTGTCTTGGAAAAGACTTAATTCCTTTTAAACTCTTCGATGTGTTGACACATTACACGCTTCAGCGTTTCTGGCAATGATGTCGACAGGCAGAGATTTTTTTTCCTCTTCTCTTTAGAGCTCAGGCTCAATCAGACTAAATCCAGAGAACCAGTGAAGGACTTTGACTGGGCCGTTCCAAAACACATTATGCTTTGATTTAAACTTTATAAACTCAGGGTTGCCGTCTGGCTGGAATTCTTATTTATCAATCATCCATCTTCCCATCAACTCTGATTGCTTTCCTTCGTTATTGGGGAGTTGCGGCCTAGTGGTTAGGGCATAGAGGTTCTGAGCTGGAGCCCCACTCCCACAGACTGCCACTCTGGGTTCCTGAGCAAGACCCTTAAACCCCACACTGCTCCCCGAGCGCTGCACAATGGCAGCCCACTGCTCCCCAAGGGGATGGGTTAAATGCAGAGCTAAATTTCTCCAATATGAGATCAATAAAGTTCAATTATTATTATTATTCCTCCTGCTGATAAAAAGGATACCCACAGCATGACGAGGAACTGATGTGTTCTGGAAGGTTAGTTTTCTCCACATGGAGCGTTTTAATATGTTTAAAAAGGTAATATTTTGGTGTCAGAGCACCTTTTTTTTTTTTACTTTTGCTGTTTTCCACACGGCTTTTACAAGCTTTCTGTGACTTTCTTGCTTCTTCCCACTCCTCCATAATGCCCAGACCATCAAGTCAACAGATTTTCATTGAATTGAGCAGAACCCAATTAAATGTTTAAATGTCTCCTCAATGTTTTCCTCAACTTGTCTGGTGTTCCTTGGTCTTTGTGATGCTGTAATTGAACTTTATTGATCTCACATTGGAGAAATTCACCTCTGCATTTAACCCATCCCCTTGAGGATCATTTGGCTGCCATCATGGGGCTCCCGGGGAGCAGTGTGGGGTTAAGGGTCTTGCTCAGGGACCCAGAATGCAGGCTGTGGGGATCAAACCGGGTACTTGTAACCTTCCAGAGCACAAGCGCTCTGCTCTAATCACTAATCCAACACTCCCCAAGGTAGATGTCTGCCGATCTTTTCCAGCAATCTTATCTGCCTCTGCAAATATCTGAAGATTTCGTGTTGTTGTTGTTGTTCTAAACTTTGATTTATTTTTGACAGCATTTATATTACAAGTTTTTATTGTTTTAAATCTGATTCTTGTCTTTAAGAAAGATAAGATTGAAATATTAAAGGTTTCTTATGATATTATAGCAATTGACAAAAAACGAAACCCTTATCAGTCCGAACTGGAATCAACATTCCAGGCCTTTTAACGATTGCAATCGGTGATTGGTCAGAACCCTGCGGTCGGTGCACCCCTACTATATAAACCTCCACAGAACACCCTGATTTATTTTGATGATAAATTACACAAAAGGTGAACTCTAAGTTTTGTGACTTCTGCTGGAAAATCCACTGGATTTTCTTGAGAGGTATCGCAGTAAAGGGGGCTAGATATCACATGCTGTTTAAAAAACATATATTTTTCTTTATTCTGTGTTTGCACTCCATAACTCTGCTCTGCTCTGAGCTGATCTATCACATCAAGTTTAAATACTTCTGCAAAGCTCTGTTATCTGCTACAAAATGCCTTTATTTTCCAAGATGAATCACTCTGGGAAGAGTAGCCTCGATCCTTCAGGCTGAACCACTTCCTGTCTCTCTCTCTGCATTCATTTAGCAGGGTTTGTAAATAAATGTACCAGGACTCTATTAAAACAAGACCCCAGTGTGGACGTAATCTCACCGTGGGAGCTTTTGACACTCGGCGGCGCACCTGCTGGAGTTTTTTAAACCAGTAAGCTTTAAAACTGACAGCAGCAGTTGGCCACTTTATCTCTGGTTCTCCCTGATGTTATCCCAGGCAGGCGTGGGTGGTGGTCGATAATCTGTGTGTGTGTGTGTGTGTGGCCCTGCTGCCACGCTGATGAGCCTCTTCCTCTGATGGATCCTGGGTGTGTGTACAGGCTTATTATCACAGTTGGCTGTCGAGTGGAGCCGGTCATTTCAGAGATGTCCCGGCTTGCTGTTCCTCCTGACAGCTGCTGGCACAGGGACAGCAGCGCCCTACGTTTGATGACGGCTTGATTACTTTTTGCCTTTGGGGACAAAAGGAGGCAGTAAAAAAAAAAAAAAATGCATCTGTTGAAATGGATTCCACAAATGACAAGTCATGCATTTATTTATGAGGAATTAATTTTACTTGAATAATCATTCAGCAAAAAAAATCACTTGGTTTTCCAGTTAAGAGTCTCTATGGCATACATTGTGTTTTTATTTAAAGGCTTTGCTGATTTTCTGTGTATTGCTTGAGAATTTTCCACCTTTGTTGGCAACGTCTGACATTTACAGCCAGACCTAAATTATATAATCTTCACGTCAAGTTTGGTTTATCTGTAAAACCTCCAGCTACCTCACAGAATCCGTTGATTATAAGCCTAACTGGAAAAGTTGCAGAAAGAAAATGTTTGTGACTTTTTTTGGACAGAGTGACCACAATTTATTCTCTTAGATTCCAGATATTAAGGGAATCTCATCAGCCTTATTAGGCATGTGAGTTTATACTAACTAGAGAGGAATAAAGCCAGATTTACAGCATTTAAAGGTGGCTTTATCTCTGACCTTTAAAAAGTCGTACGGAAGCACATTTAAATGTCAAAACATTCTGGCTTGAACATGTATATAAATGTACTCTTTATCAGATGATATTGTCCTAAAATTAAGAAAATTTCTGTTTTAAAGAAAAAAAATCCTGTCTTAAAATCTGTATTGTTTTTTTTTTAGCTTATTTATCTATGCAGGCCACTTATTTATACGTCAGCTGAAACACCTAAATTCGGCCAATCAACGGTCATCTGTCAATCAAATTTTTTTCGGTCATAGCATCTTGATTCATAAATCGCAGCTAATATACACAACAGTTGAAATAAGAAATAGGAATAATTTCCTTTCCCATTGATTTCCGTCCCAGTGTTCACGGGGATGGACGTCTGTGTCTTCAGCAGGCGTAGAGCTAACAGAACAGGCAGCGTTGCGAGGCAAGGGCTCAAACATGTACGGCTGGAAGCCTTCTACACCAAACCAAGCTTCTGCTGCCCTGGCGTCCTCTTCCACAACATCTTCGTCCTCGCTTTCCTCCTCTAGATAAAAAATGTATGACGGAGGAGACTCATCCACGACCTCCGACTCTAAACTCTCCTCCTCTTGCATGTTTCCTCTGTCCATAGCGTTCCTTCACAGTGTCGTTTCTAAGTCACCAATTTAGTGCTACTTGGTCCCAATGGAATTTCCAATTTTGAACCTACTAGCACTAAGTTGCTAACTGGTTAGCAAGATGCTTCCGACAAACCAGCCACAACCAAACTTGCTTGTGAACCTTCCGTCACAACAATCCCACTCCTTTGATAAACGACTAATCACATTCACTTTATTCACTCGTATAAAGTCGTGCACCATTGGGAGAATTCGGAAATTCAACCGTTGGAACAGCCGCTTCCCTACGACTTTAAAGGTACCAAAGTAGTTAAACAACAGCAGATCAAACTGTATGAATTCAATAATAACGTTGTTATAACTGGTTAAAGTTGTAATCCATGCAGGGCTGAAGCAATTAATCAGATTAAGCCATCTGGCTTTTGAATAATGCTGACAGTACTAACTAGAACTGGACCAGGCATTGTAAACCTTGGTCCCCGCCTGCTTCATGTATTGCGGTGTATTATGATCTTTGCATTTGCTTCTTTTTCCTGGTACCCAAATGCAATATGATGCTGCTGACAATGTTTCTGGATGTTGTTTATTATTACTGGTAGGCTAAAACTGAACTTAAAATAAAATCATTTGATTTGAT